AGAGAGAGAGAGAGAGAGAGAGAGAGAGAGAGGGGGGGGGGGGAATTTAACGAAATAAAGAGAAACAGAAAGATAGAAATGAAAAGAGAGAGAGAGAGAGAGAGGCAGAGAGAGAGAGAGGTAAGAAGGAAAGGAGACAGGAATATAGAAATGGAAAGAGAGAGAGAGAGGAATTTAACGAAAGAAAGAGAAACAGAAAGATAGAAATGGAAAGAGAGAGAGAGAGAGAGAGAGAGAGAGAGAGAGGCAGAGAGACACAGACGGTCACGCAACAGGTTACCGCGGAGGAACGTGTACCGTATTGCGCCAAAAGTAGTGTTGTTTGTTTCGTTTTTCGTTTCTTTGATATTTTTAGTGGGTGGATGTGTTGCGTTTTTATTTGTTTGTTTGTTTATGTTTTATATTGTTTTTTGTTTTTGTTTATTTTTCATTTTTTTTTTTATTTAGTTTTTTTTTTATTATTCCGTTGCATTTAGTTGTATTTGACTTTATTTCTTAATTAGTTTCTAGTATAATATTAATTTACTCAATTTCAGCTATTTTAAATTATTGTTGTCTTTTGTTGATATTTTCCCTCAGTTAGTTTTCGAAACAGAATATTTTGTGTATTTTCGATTTATATTTGTGTTTGTATATTTTTTGTATTATTAGATGCGTGTCTGTGAGCATGGTGTGTGTGTGTGTGTGTGTGTGCGCGTGTGTGTGTGCGTGTGTGTGTGTGTGTGTGTGTGTGTGTGTGTGTGTGTGTGTGTGTGTGAGAGAGTTTATATAATGGTCTTTATGTGTGTGTGTGATCGCGTGTACGTGACGCGCAGACATGCATAGTCTTACCAGTCGCAGAATCTGCCACAGCCTTTGCCAAATATCAAGCACGTCCCTTGCCCCCACCCATCTGCCCCCTCCCATCTGCCCCCTCTTCCTCCTTTTCACTCCCCTCTGCCCCCTCCCCTCTGCCCCTACCCCTCTATCCTCTCCCCTCTTCCCCCAACCCCCCTACCCCTTCCCCTCTGCCCCCTACCATCTGCTCCCTCCCTTCCGCCTCTCTTCCTCCTTTTCACTCCCCTCTGCCCCTACCCCTTTATCCTCTCCCCTCTGCCCCCTCCCCTCTAACCCTTTCCCTCTGCCCCCTCCCCTCTAACCCTTCCCCTCTGCCCCCTCTAGCCCCTCCCCTCTGCCTTCTCTTCCTCCTTTTCATTCCCTCTACCCCTTACCCTTCCTCCTCCCTACCACATCCCCACCTCTTTCCCCCTCCTTCCCTCTTCACCCCCCGTCCACCTGCCACTAGTCCCCTTTACCCTCTCTCTCTCTCTCTCTCTCTCTCTCTCTCTCTCTCTCTCTCTCTCTCTCTCTCTCTCTCTCTCTCTCTCTCTCCTTCTCCCTCTTCCTCCTCCTTCCCACCTTCCTTTTACTCTACCCTCCCCCTTCCTTCCTTCCCTTCCCCATTCTCCCCCTTCCTCTTCCTTCTCCCTACTCCTCTCCCTCCCTCTTCCCCCCTTCCTTTCTCCCATGCATTTCCCCCTTCCTCTCCCTTATCCCTCTCCCTCCCTCCCCCCTTCCCCTCCCCCTCCCGTCCGCGCGTGTGTGTGGGCGGGGTATGGGTAGGGGTGTGGTAGGGGGTGGGTGGGGGATGTAGCATGTGTCCCGCACATGTCGTGCCCTTGTTAGCTGCAGCGATTTCCGGTCGTGGGGGAGGGGGGGAGGTGAGGGAGGGAGATGGAGAGAGGGTTGGGGAGTGGGAGAAGGGGGGAGGGGAGGCAGGGAGAAGGAGAAAGAGTTGGGGAGTGGGAGAGGGAAGGAGATGGAGAGAGAGGGAGGAGAGAGGGTTGGGGAGTAGGAGAGGGGGGAGGAAGAGGGAGAGGGAGCGAGAAGGAGAGAGGATTGGGGAGTGGGAGGGAGAGAGAGAAAAAGGGAGAGGGAGAGGGAAAAGGGAGAGAAATGAAGAGGGGAGAAGGAACGCGAAGAGGAAAGAGGAAGAAAAAGAGATAGAGATGGAGAAGGAAAAGGAGAGAGATAGTTGAAATCGATAGAGATTTAGAGGGAGAAAGAGAGGGAAAAATGAGATAAAAAGAGAAGAGTGAGAAAGCAGAGGAGAAGATAAGAGAGAGAGAGAGAGATGAAGAGGGAAGAAGAACATGATAGGGAGAGATGAGAATGGAGAGAGGAAGAAAGGGAAAAAGTTAGCAAGAGAGAGAGAGAGAAAAAAGATGAACGGGTATTCATTACGTCAAATGTAAAAAAAAAGTATGAATGAGAGTGAATATCTCTTGTATTGCGAAGATATTCATTCTCAGAAAAATAAGAGTGAAAAGTAGAGGAGAGTGAAAGACAAGGAGATCAGCTAACAGACACACATGATAGTAATTATAATGAAGATAATGATAATAACAATGATAGTGATAATGATAATGATGATAATGATGATTACTGTGTCAAGGATAGTAGTGATGATAATAATGATGATGATGATGATATAAGTGATAGTAATAATGTAAAGAAGAGGAATGACAATAAAAATAAAAATGACAACGCGCATTTTGGTGCGTTAAGTACTCTGCTTCGGTCCAGCGTAAAGAACACTTGAGTGACATTCTCTGGCTCTTTGATTCCCTTTTTTGTCCCTCCAGGCGCCCTTCAGCCCCTCCTCTCCCTCCCTCCCTCCCTCCCTCCTTCCCTTCTTCCCGCCCGACGCTTTCCTACCCTCCCTACCTCACTCCCTTCCTATATTCCTGTCTCCTTTCCTTTTTACCTCTTTCTCTCTATCTCTCTCTTTCGCTTTCTCTCTCTCTCTCTCCCTCCCTCCCTCCCTCTCTCCTCTTCTTTGCTCCTTCCCTCCCTCCCTCCCTCTCTCCCTACCTCACTCCCTACATTCTTGTCTAACTCCTTCCTTCCCTCCCTCTCTCCCTCTCTTCTTTTTTCCTTCCCCCGCTCCGCCCTCCCCCCCCCCCCCCTTCCACCTTCCTTACCCAGCCCGCCCGACCTTTTCCTTCAACTCCCCTCCACCCCGTCCATTCCACTAAAATGCACTCCCTCCCTGTTTTATTACCCCCCCCCCATTTTCATTCCACGAAGTCATACCCCGCAATAATATTTCCTCCTTTTCTTTTCGTTCCAACCCTGTTGGTCTCTTCCTTCTTTGTTCTTCCTTCACTTTTTTTTCTCATTCCACCTCATTCCACCCGTCCCCCCCCCCTTTCCCCCTCCCCTTCGCCTCCCCTCCCTAATGCCAAGGCTTCCTTTCTCCCTCCTCCTCCTCCACCCTTCTCCCCACCTCCTCCCTTCCCCTTCCCTCAACACTCCCCTTCCCTTCCCTCCCCCCACCTCCCTCCCTCCATTCCCCTTCCTTCCCCTACCTCCCTCCCTCCCTCCCTTCCCCTTCCTTCCCCTACCTCCCTCCCTCCCTTCCGTCCCCCCACCTCCCTTCTCCTTTTCTCCCCTTCCTTCCTCCCACCTCCCTCTCTCCCTTCCCTCCACCTCCCTTCTCCCTTCCCCTCCCTTCCTCCATTCCCTCCACCTCCTTCCCTTCCCTCCTCCATCACCCACCTCCTCCCTCCCCCTCCCTTCCTCCCTCCCTTCCTCCCTCCCTTCCTCCCTCCCTTCCTCCCTCCCTTCTCCTCCTCCCCCCGCGTGCACATGAGGGCATTAAACTCTCCCGGTATTTCGCGTTTCATTCCGGGTTGTGCAATCGGCCAGGGCGGGGGGGGGGGGGGGAAGGGGGGAAAGGGGGGGAGGGGAGAAGTCGCGGGGGTAAAGAGGTTTGTGGATTGGGGTTGTTAAGGGGGGTGGGGTGGATGTGGCCAAAAGATTACAGGAAGGAAATCGGACGCGGCCAAAGCATTCGAGAAGGAATTCGGACGCGGCAGAAAAAAAAATCAAGATGGAAATCGGACGCGACAAAAAAAAGAAAAGAAAAAAAAAATAATAATGATAATAATAATAATAATAATAATAATAATAATAATAATAATAATAATAAACAAACAAACAAGAGAATCGAACGCGACATTATAATAAGGCTAATAATAATAATAATAATAACAAATAAATAAATAATAAAAAATAAAGAAGGGAATCAAACGCAACAAAATAAAATAAAAAATCGAAAAGGAATTCGGACGCGGGGGGAAAAAATCAAGCAGGGAATCGGACGCGGCAAGGAGCTCGAGACGGGAACAGCTGTTTTCGCCGCGTGATATCGGCCTTGATTAAGACTCCTTATCACTTTGATTGTTCCTTGGTTTATTATTATTCCCCTTTTTATTGTGTCTTACTGCGGCCCTTGGTTTATTATTATTTTTATTCCCTTTTTTATTATGTCTTACTATGGCCCTTGGTTTATTATTGTTGTTATTGTTGCTGTTCAGGATTGTAAGGTTATCATAATTGTGATTGTTGTTGTTGTTTTATTGTTGTTGGAATGGTTTTATTTTGTTTTTATCCTTTTTTTCTCTGTTTCTTTGTTTCTCTGTTTCTATTGTGATATTGATTATTTATTGCTTGTTCATTTTTTCTGTGTTTCCGTGATTCTCCCTTTCACTTTCTCGTTCTCTATTTCTCCCTTTTTGTCTTTCTCTCTTTCTTTCTTTCTTTCTCTCTTTCTCTCTCTCTTTCTCTCTTTCTCTCTATCTATCTCTATCTCTATCTCTATCTCTATCTCTTCCCCCTCCCTCCCCCTCTCCCTCTCCCTCTCCTTCACCTCCCCACCTCTCCCTCGCCCTCCCCCCCTCTCTCTCTCTTTCTCACTCTCTCTTTTTCTCTCGTTCTTTTTTCATTCTTCCCATTATTATTCTCGAGAACAAATGAATTACTTTATTATCATCAGTAATAACTGTAGCGTTGATCATAATACCGGTGATAATGGTAATGATAAGATTTGATGATGATAATAGTAATAGTGATGATAATGATAACAATAGCAATAATAAGAGATGATAATGATATTGTAATTATTGTAATTATTAATTTCCTTGTATTAATGAATCCTTTCTTTGTCGTTTCCACAGGTCGGGTCCGCCATCACTGCGGGTCGGCCGGGAATCGGGTGGGCTAAGAAAAGGAGAGAGAGAGAGAGAGAGAGAGAGAGAGAGAGAGAGAGAGAGAGAGAGAGAGAGAGAGAGAGAGAGAGAGCGAGCCCCGCCCACCACCGACATAAGCAGAAGCAGAAGTAGCAGAGAAGCAGCATCTGGATCGCCGCCCCCTCCAACAGCAGCAGAAGTGGCCGCAGCAGAAGCAGACAGCAGCAGCAGCAGGACGCGGCGCTGCCCCTCGACGCCGCCGGGGGGAGGGGAGGCAGGGAAGGCGCTCGGCAGGGAGGAGGGGCCGGGAGGGAGCCGTGACAGGGGGATGTGGCCCCCCACCCCCCACCCCCCGCGCGCTGGCCTCACCACCCTTCTGCTCACCACCCTGCTCACTGCTGGTAAGGATGCGCCGTCTGCCTGCTGTGCATGAGGGGCGTCGGGCTCCGGGTCGGCGCTCGGCCATGCACGCTCCGTCGGCGCAGCGAGCTCGAGTGCGGCGCCTTAAGGGCATAGGCCTTAAGGGCTCCCTCGGTTGGGACTGCGTGGGAGGGTTGTGCATGCTAAAATTATATATATAATAAAAAATAAATAAAAAAGAATAGGGTAGAGATAGAAATAAGGAAGAACTAGCATTAGCAGCAGATGATGATAAGTATTATGATAATAATGATATTAATGATAATAATGATAATGATAATAATAATAATAATGATAATATTTGTAAAATGGTCATTATTAGTAGTATTGTTATTGTTATCATTTTTTATTATTATTATTATTATTATTGTTAATATTATCATCATCATCATATTGACAACAATGCCAGTACTAGTAATAATATTAGTATTATTAAAAGTAACAGTAATTGTAATGATAATAAAGGTGACGATGATAATAACAACAGCAATTACAATAATAATAAAACAATAGCAAAATGCACAGCACAGCAGTAGTAATGAGAAGAATGAGGATGAGGATGATAATGATAATGACGATAATAATGGTGATGATGACGATTAATAATAATGGTAATAATCATCATCATCATCTTATTAATAATAATAATAATAATAATAATAATATAATAATATAATAACAACAACAACAACAGCGAGCGAACAGAGCAGCCATCTGTTCGCTTGCCGCCACGCCCCCCCTCCCTCGCGCCGACCTGTCACCGCCAAGCACGACAAGCGACTTCCTTACACGAGCCATGCGCGCTTGCTTGCCTGCCTGCCTGCCTGTCCGAGAGGTCGCGTCATGCACTGAGCTAAAGCCTCTTGAAGTGGGCTGGAGCCAGAGTGACGCCGTCTCGCATGCACGTTCAAGTATGCAGGGCTGTGGCGCTCTACTGCGGCAGTGGGAGGGGGTGGGGGTTATTTATGTATGTGTATAGTATATATATATATATATATATATATATATATATATATATATATATATATATATATATATATATATATATATATATATATATATATATATATGTATGTATGTATGTGTGTATATATATATGTATGTGTATATATATATATAATATGTATATGTATATATATATATATATATATATTATGTGTATGTATGCGTGCGTACGTACCTGCGTGTGTGTGTGTGTGCGCGTGTGTGTGCGCGCGTGTGTGTTCGCGCGCGCGCGTAATGCCTGTTTACCTCCGCGTCTAGCTGTCCGCGCATGCATGTGTACATTAGAGGAAACCAGGCCTCGCAGTACACACAATCATGTGCATACTCAAGCAACGAGCGAAAGGGAGGGGGGGGTAGGTCACGGGGGAAGGGGAGGGGAGGGGGTGAAGAGGGAAGGGGGTAGGTGCTAAGTGAGTTAGTCTGTCGGAGGAACCCGGTGCCGTCGCCCGCGCCTTCAAGAACGTTTTAGAATTTGTCTTAAATGGAGGTACACTAGCGTTTTTAAAAAGGAAAGAAAGAAAAAAAAAAGTTAGAGAAAAAATAGAAGATAAAAAAAAGAAAATAGTAAAAAAAAATATATATTAAAAAACGTTAAGAGCTACCACAAACCAGAAACGTTTAAGAATTCGTGTATAATGTTCAAACGTTTAAAAACTCAACGTTTAAAAATTCGTACTGGAAATAAGAATTCTTGGGGCAAAAGAGAGAAAAAAAAGTGTTCATATGGACTTTTTTTTATCATTTGTTTCTGTATTTAATTTTCCCGTTTTATTTCTTATTTCTGTTTTCTTTCATTTTTACTTTCTTTGATTCTGTTTTATATTTTTTTTCCTTTGATCTTTCTCTTTATTTTTTTTTCTTGTATCGTCCTCCTCTATTTATTTCTTCATTTTCTCCTTCATCTTAGTTTTTTTTCTTTTCTTTTCTTTTCTTAGGGGGTGTGACGTCATACAATGCTCGTCCTAGTTTCAGTAAATATATAGAAAACGTTCTTTCTTTTTACAATTCAGAAGAAAAGCCTTGTTACTGAAAGATTTAAAGACTTTACCAGAAATACTTTTAAACCTTTCTTTTTTTCCAAACTCTTCTCCTTTCTTTCTTTATTTTCATTTTCCTCCTTCCCCTTTTCTTCCAAATTCTTCTCCTCTCTTTCTTTATTTTCATTTTCCTCCTTCCCCTTTTCTTCATTTTTCATGAATTTCTTTTATCTCCTCCTTTTACCTTTTTCTTCACGCATCTCTCCTCTTCATTTCCCTTCTCTTTTTCATCATTTCATCATTTTCTTCCCTTTTCTCCCCTCTTTCTTTTTTCAGTCATTTCCCTTTGTCCTTTTTCCTGAGTCCTTCTTTCCATATTCTTTTTATTACCGCATTCCCCTTCCCTTCTGTCTTCTCTCTCTTCCCTCTCTCTTCCCTCTCTTCCTTCTCTTCCCTCTCTTCCTTCTACCCCTTTCGACCTCTATGGTTCCCCCTCAGTCCCTCCTTTTCCCTTCTCTCCCTCCCTTCTTTTCTCCCCTCCGTCCCTCTTCCCATTCCTTATCCCCTTGGTCTTCCTCCCTCTTCCTTCCCCCCGCTCCCTTCCTCTCTCTCTCTCTCTCTCTCTCTCTCTCTCTCTCTCTCTCTCTTTCTATTTCTCTCTCTTTCTCTCTCTCTTTCTCTCTCCCCTCCCCTCCCTTCTCCCCTCTCCTCAGTTCTCCTCCCTACTGTTTCAGCGTATCTCCCTTCCCCTCTCCTCCCCTCTCCTCCTCCCCTCCCTCCCGCCCTCTCCATCCCTCCCCCCTCCCCTTCCCCCTCCCCATCCCCCCCCCCTTACTCCGTCCGTACGCCAGCGACCCAACACTACGCAAGTCGCCGCCGCCGTTCATGAAGTCCTCATGAGCTATCGACTGACGATCCATGACTCAGCGGCTCATGGCGGTCTCACCTTTCTCCCCCCCCCCCCCCCCTTCCCTCCTCCCACAATATCTCACCCGTCTCCCCATACCCCCTCCTCTCCCTTAGGTTTCCCCTACTTTGATCTGTTCTTTGCCTACCCACTTCACCTCTCTCTCTCTCTCTCTCCTTCCCTCCCTCCCTCCTGAGTCCTTCTTTCCATATCCTTTTTATTACAGCATTCCCCTTCCCTTCTGTCTTCTCTCTCTTCCCTCTCGCTATCTCTCTCATCCCTCTCTCTTCCCTCTCTTCCTTCTCTCCCTCCCTTCTTTTCTCCCCTCCGTCCCTCTTCCCATTCCTTATCTCCTTGGTCTTCCTCCCTCTTCCTTCCTTCCGCTCCATTCCTCTCTCTCTCTATCTCTCTCTCTCTCTCTCTCTCTCTCTCTCTCTCTGTCTCCCTCTCTCACTCTTACTCTCACTCTCTCCCTCATCTCCCTCCCTCTCCTCCTCCTCTCTCCCTCTCTCTTTCTATCTATCTATCTATCTATCTCTCGCTCTCTCTGCTTCTCTCTTATCTTTGCTACTTTCTTTTCTCTTTTCCCCTAGGTTACCTACCCCATTTCTTTCCCCTTCTTCCCATTTCTCGTTTTCTCTCCTCTTCCTTTCCCCACCTATCCTCTTCCCATCCTGCTCTTTCTCCCTCTCTTCTTCCCCCTACTCTCCCCCCTTCTTTATTTCTCTATTCCTCTACCCTTTCCTTTCCTCTCTTCCTCAGCTTCCCCCACTCTCCACCTCCCCTTCCCCTTCCCCTCATCCCCTTCTCCCCCCTCCCCCCATCCCCCCCCCATTGTGAGGAATTGCAGACCCATTCCAGGAAAGGGAATGCATTCTCACACAGGCTCGAAGGTAAACACATTCTGTTAAAAGGTTGTGTGTTTTGACTTTTAAGACTGTCACAGCTTTTATTATTATTATTGTTGTTGTTATTACTTTTATTGTTATCATTATTATTGTTACAATTATTGTTGTTATTATTGTTAATGTTATTGTTGTTGTTGTCATTTATACACACGCGCGCACATACACACACACACACACACACACACACACACACACACACACACACACACACACATTCGCACATTCACACACACACACACACACACACACACACACACACACACACACATATATAGTAAGTGACCGTGTGTGTGTGTGTTTGTGTGACCGACATATATATTGTGTACATATATATTACAGTATATATGTCTTCCTCCACCCCCCCCCCTCCCTCTCCCTCCCTCCCTCCCTCCCTCCCTCGCCCCCTCCCCCTCCCTCACTCCCTCCCCCCCTCCCCCTCCCTGTGCCTCCGCCTTCACGACGCCCTCACAAGCACACCACAAACACGCCGCCGCCGCCACACGCCCTCCCCTGTGCATGATGCATGGCGAGGGCTGCGCTGCGCTAATTACCCGGCGAATTCACACCAGAATCGTCATGCAGATTTCATGCGCCTCATGTTGTGTGTGTGTGGGGGGGGGGGGGTGAGGGGTAGGGGGAGGGGGGAGTATTCTGTCCTTCATTCAGTTTTTTTCTAAGTAGTTTTTTAAGCTTGTTTGTGTTTTGTTTGTTTGTTTGTTTGTTTGTTCGGTTCAGGTAGGAATAACTGTTTTTTTTTTGTTTCTTTTTTTTGCGTAAGATTTGTGTAGTTTCGTCATTGTTTGGGTGAAATTGGTCTGTTTGTTTATATGCGTGAGTCATGCATTGCGTCCTTGTTTATTTGTTTTATATTCTTCTTTTTCTTCTTTCTTTCTTTTTTTCCTCTTGTTGCTTGCATTTGAACATGAGGTTTGCGTAGGTTAGTCAGCGGTCATGAGTGCCTGTGTGCATGACGGAGCCTGCCTGCTTGCTTGCCGGCCGCCGAATCGATCTTAGATTATGAGTCAGTCGGGCGCGCCTTCACCTGCCGACGCCGCCCGCTCGCTGTCGGTCGGTCGGGCGGTTTGTCTGTCTATTTGGTTATCGGTCGGTCGATCGGGTTGGTTTGCTTGTCTGGTTGTCGGTCGGTCGGTTTGTCGGTCTCTCTCTCTCTCGCTCTCTCTCTT